TGAAAGTTTGCTCCCCTTGGAGGCCGGCCATCAGCAACTTCTGCAGGTTAGGATCAATCGTGATCGTTCGCATCTGGTCCCTCCCTGGTTTCGATCTATTCTCCCCCCCTATTACTGACGTGGTGACGGGCGTCGTATACGTCGTCGTGTACGTCGTCGTCGTCACGGTATGTATCCTAGACTCTGTCAGTGGCCTATATACATTAGCCCCCTTTTCATCCGATCGCCGTAACTCATCCTCTATTCCGGATTCACTCGCGCTCGCATTTCCGCTCCCCCGTCTCCCTGGCACTGACCCTTGGGTCTTTCTCGTTGAATCCGTAGCCACTGGCTCCGACGGAGACACCGGACTTTCTCTTCTCTCGGAATTTGATCCCTCTGTACGTGCTAACTCCCTCTGTATCAACTCGCCGGTAGTACTGAGTTGGGTCGTCCGCGGAGTACTGTGTTCTAATTTCCCCTCCTCTCCGTCCGCAAGCACGTCCTCTTCATACCAGGGTACCTTTTCATCATCTGGTTCCACCTCCAACATTAATGCTCGGAGAAACCTGTCTCTCACAGCAGCCTCTGTCCCCACGCACACGATCCCACTCACACCTCTTGTCTCTCGACCTTTCTCTAGTGCCTTACACCCTGACACCGCCTCTACCCACCACTACACCCCCTTTTCCACGTCTACACACACTCACCCGTGCCCGTTTGGATCGTCCCAGCACTATCCCGTATACCACCCGGTGCACTATTTACAGCACACTTACCTCCTGGTTATCCTTGTAGGGTACGACTACCTGGAACTCGTATCACTCGTCCGGACGACTCGGCCGTTCTCTCTCTGCGCGCGGCCCTGGTCCGATGGTCTCTCGCAAATTCCCTTTTTTCCTAGCCTCAGCTGCTCTCTCTCGTTGCACTCGACCTCGACTTCGCTCTTCTCAATTCCTTCCTCTGCCCTATCACTTCCCTATCTATCACCAATGCTTTTATTTCCTACTCTGCTCTCTCTGATGGCTCTCGCGGATACTCGTCCCAATTTTCGCGTTCTCTCGATCGTGGCTGCTACAACTCTCCTTGACTCTGCTCTCTCTGATGGCTCTCGCGGTACTGATGCGTTATGGCAGTGCACTTGAACAGATGCGCGCGCCCCTCTCGTGAATACAAAAAATCTCTAACACTCCTAAAAACCGGTAAATTATTTGAGGTTTCCAAAAATAGGGAATTGACGCGGCCGCTCGGTGCTCACACCTCTCCGACGTGTGTCGGGCCCTCGCCTCTCTCTCCTTTTCTACCTTACACACATGCTCACCCAATCATACCACACACTCTTTCAATCCCTTTTCTGGTCTTCGGTCCTTCTCTCTCCTCTGGCTCGTAGTTCACGGCACCGAGAACACACATTAAGAATGTGTTGTAAAACGATACATATGTAAAATATATACAGTATCATAGGACTCGGTAGCCGCCAATGACTCGCCCAAAATATAGGTATATAGTGACGTGATAGCTTCAGCTACCACGTCACAACTNAAAATATCACATGTAAGAATAATTGTATTACATATCAAAGTTAAATTAAAAAAAAATAATAATAGAGTTTTCATGATGAATAAGACAGTGAGAAATTATGAAATATTATAAATGGTTTTAACAAGCATATTCAATTGAAGATGAGCGTATACATAATAAATGTCTATCGCACAGTTGATTATGCCTTTCCGACCGTTCAAACCACATCGTTAAGGCTATGGGATTATTTACTCCTCTCTTAGCCCAACCCCTCCGTCGACTCTTGCTTCATTAAGAATTTATCACGCGCTCTTCTCCAGCAGGTGCAAACGGCGATCAAGAGTCAAAAACAATAAATATACATATATATGTGTGTATATATACATTATAAGGTTGTAATGGTTCATGCCGCCTGTCAAACTAACCTCATGACAAATCGCCATCATCAACCATTTTTTTCTAAAAAATTAGCCATTTGTTTGGAAAAAAAATAGTTGCATCTTATTCAGGATAACTTAATCTGTAATAAATAAAATTTTCAGCCAATTTAACCGAGAGAGAATATCCTAAGGGTTTGTGCGGGGTCCTTTCATTTACACAAGGAACCTAACCATTAACCAACCTAACCATTAAAACACAGTTCTTTGTCTTCAGCGGAGAAAATCATGATTTTCTCTTTATTTTGTATGGAAACAAGGGTAAATCAGAGAATCATAATAATCTCCAGTATTTAATGTATCGAAATATATTTATTTCAATTTTTTAACGATTACTATGGTATGTTATTTTTAGGTCAAAACATTTTTCCCATAACAGCCCATGTTATATTCTCATTCTTCATTTTAAGATATCTCAACAACTAGATGGCTAAGATTGACCAGAAAGTGTACATTTGTTCATTATAACACACTGAATAGATTGAAAGTAAAATAAGAACCCCCAACTATTGTCGATAATATGTATCCAACCTCTTTAAACACCATACTTCCAAAAGGTGACAGCACTTTGAACCCTATGGTTTAGGTTGTATCGTCCTTCTTGTTAATTTGATTTTCTGAAATTGAAAATTGCTTTAAATTTACTTACAGATAAGTATAAAAACGCATACATACATCTGTTCGTTATTTTATTTATCTGCTGTATTCATATTGTATGAAGGGCTAAAAAAAGACTCACTTTTCTTACGCTACACGTTTTTTTCAGCTCGAAATGATCGCTTCAAAAAAGATTCTGACCTCAAACAGTCAAACTACATATAAAATTTTGGACAATCAATCTTCATAGTAAAAATGAAGTACTAATCGGTAAGGCACAAAATGTTTTCAATGTTTTCAAAGACCCAAAGTGATGTTCGAGGGCGCAATGACTCTCCACTGCACTTTTCTGATCATAGTACTTAAGAGCAGTCGTTTTTTAGCCCGCTCTTATATATGTATTGTGATAAAATCAAAATATTTCTTACCTTCGAAATTTGTGGCACTTTCATCCTCGCATCTGGCTATTGTCACGAAACTAGCAATATCTTCTGGACACTGTTGACATAATTCTGTGACGTTCATGCCGACAGAATCAAGTGAAGATGCACTCAACGGCTGTAGGACTGTTACCAGGTGCTCGGTAACTTCAACTGAAGCATTCTCTACAGTTACATATTAATTAACAGAAATTTTTTTTAAAATTATACTACATTTTTAATATTAATTAGATATTTTCATAAAAGTACATCGAGTAACAGAGAATTGACACATTTTTTTAAAGAGTTACAAAGCATTCAAGTACGTATGTCAAAAGATCACGTAAAATTATACATTTGGTTGGGGAAGTAATAACACGTATAATTTTGTCCATAACATGTACTTTTCCAATATTGGTGTGATATATAATATAAACATAGGCACTCGCGATGTGCAGTTTTCTCCATGAATGTTGTTTTAATTTAAAAACATTTTTCATTGAGTAGTTTCTCATAGTACATAATGAAAACATGATGACTATATGACAACATATAGCCTTGTTGACTGAAATGCAAGAAGCGCCGATAACATAACAAAAGACTATGATAATTATCTCATTGTAATACAGTACATCCTTAATACGCACTACCAATAAATTATTATTATTATTATTACAGGCAATTTTAGAGAAAGCAAAAGACTTGAAAATAATTAATCGACGAACAACTCCATCGACTAATCTATAGGTGTACGTGGTACTGAGATATCTGTCATCATTAGCATTGTTACCTGAATTCTTAATCTCAAAAACTTTAGATGAAGTTATAGAAGAAGTACGATTGGAATACGACGGTTACTTTGATGACCTCTTTAAGTACTACAAAAAGTACTGGTTGAATACAGTTGGCACCAAATACTTTTGTGTATTCGAAAAACATGAAGACAGAACAGATAACTCTTCGAAGGCCCATAACAAATTACGCATAGCATCACTGGATACAAAACCGACGGTCAATAAGTTTCTAGGTACGTATGATCATTCCCACCTTCTTTTTTTTATCATTGTCAATGTTTGGTGAAACAATATATTTTACGGTGGTTTTTCAATTTTACAACAATTTTTTTATTGGATCAAAATTTTGTATAAAACATTTTTAGGTCGTCATGACTTATATCTTGAATGACGACACTGACTTGAATTTCTTTACAGAGCAATTGAAGGTTACAATGCTTGAAACTAGGGTGGTTAAAGAATCTAATGAAAAAAATCTTTACAAATCCAGAGAACAAAAGAAAAAAACAATCAAAACGGACATTGAGCTCTCAATGTTTTGGGATTTGTTGAACCTTTTGCACTTTGGACCCGGAGAGCGCAAAAAACTTTTCATTTTTTATGTTTTATAAATCATTTTAATTTTTTTTATTCAATTATTAATAAAAACGGTATGAAATATTAGGTACAGTAACCGATTTACAGCCGCACTCCATGTATTTTATAAACCAACAAAAGCCAGTGTGCACTAAATTAGCGCACGTTGGCTTCCATCGAACGACTGGATGAACAGATAGCACGCGCTAAATTAGCGCACAGCTCCCATTCAATAACTAGACAAGGATAGGCTACCGTGCACTACGTTGATATATGATCGTCCTGATGCCGTATTCCAGTTTAGTGTGAGCACCCCAAGTAGGTGTCTAAAGGCCTACGCAGTCAAATTGACATAAGGTGCACAGTGCACAGTGCACAAGAATAACATTGGTTGGTATACCTATATACATAATGCACAGCGCGTTGTGCTTTACGTTTTTACATATATAGATATACCAACCAATGTTATTCTAGTGCACTGTGCCTGTGCATATGCTTGTGTTTTTCACTGCGTAGGCCCTTTGACAGGAGCTGTTGGGTATGCCTTACTGACGAGTCCACCAACAACTTCGGGTCAAAACATGTTGGACCTGAGTGGCGGCCCAATATCGTGTGTATGGCATATGGAAACAGCATAGAGAAAATATCCATAGGAAACTGTCACCGACCTAGTGTGTTTCACTGGATTCTAGAGACTACGTGTCTAAAGTAGTCTATATACTCTAGATTTATGAGGTTTAAGTGAATAGATTTTCATTATTTACCAAGCCTCTTCGATTACTGTCATCTTACTGTGTAAGTATGTGTATTTGGTGTAGCCTTACTTGAACGAGTAGTGCTAGTTATTAAGATATTTGATTATAGCTATATAGTTATACAGTGAAAGAGAACGGCTATGAAAGAATGCTTAGTTCTTGAAACAAAAGTTAAAAAGGTTTTACGTAATAACAGCTAATGTTTTATGCTGAACATATTGCACAGGTTTTTATATAAATTTTTTCACAAATTTCTCTTTTTTTTTAAATGTATATTATCTGACATGTGTTACAATAAATTATAATACAAAATATTCAATTACCTATGGTTTATTATGAAATATTTCAAGTATTTAGTTAAGTACTTTATCATCCAGCAGGATTATATATTATGCAATTAACGGAATGCTTACAAAAATTTTGATTCATTATATTGTAACACTTATTCAATTGATATAATCAAAATCTAATAAAGTGTTTTATTAAAAATCGCTATTCCACAAGCTAACAAGCTTTATTTCATTACTCAAAATAAAATAATTTACCACATTCTAGCTTCTATAGTTAGTTTTACAAACATGTGCAATACTCTTACCTCAAGTAAATAATAATTAGTAACTTAGTAAAATATATATAACACCAAACAATCAGCGATCATGCTTCTGGTACCGTTCTCATATTATAAGCATTATTTAAAACTTATTTATAAAAGGTTAAAAGTCATTGCCTCATTAAAATAAGTGTATAATTAAAATTGTGAATTATTATTTTATACATTGATAAAAAAATATGTATTACTCTAACCATAAACACAATCTTAATCTTCCAACATAAAGCAAATGTCAAAACTACATAATACAGACCATAGACATATAAGAAAAACAGACTGCTCGTTCTTATGTACGGCGCTGAAGCTTGTGCTTCTTGTGCTACTTGTGCTTCAGCGTCGTACAGTGGAGGCCGATTAATTCGTTGAGCGGGAAATTCAAACATTTAATTCCCATTGGCTGATTCTATCACATAACCTCTTTCATTGGTCAATTTTATACTTCCCGCTCAACGAATTAAACGGCCTCCACTGTACATAAGAACGAGCAATCTATTTTTCTTTTATGTCTATGGTACAGACGACAAATCGTTACCACGGATACATAGGGTGCGTTGCGTAAGCTCCAGCAGTTAATCTTTAAGTATCTCGGTATTCTAGATGACATTTAAGTGTAAGGGAAAAGTATGACATGTTATCTCTCTCACACTAATAAGTTATCTCTACATTGTCTAAATACTTAGATTAAACGGCCAGTGCTTACAGAACGCGTTCATATACATGCCCTTGGACATGCACGGATAATAAATCAAGAGGTAAGGATTGTCGAAAATACTAACCAGCCACATATTAATAGAATTGTGAAACCTCATGATTCGTAGAGATCCTAAATATTTTTATCATATTTCATTTTGGTAAGGAGTTAAGTGGTGATTAAAATGATGCCATGTGGTTAATTTTATAAACCAGCCGCAATTTATACCATTAGATCAAAATAAAAAGTAATACCGGAGTGACATTTGTAGCAAGATTCAAATTCATCTTCTATCTGAAATTGGACCTTCGAAAAAATAGATCCCCCCCCCCACACGAAAGCAAAACCAGTCATAACTTTGACAGTTAGTTTTTTACAATAATTAACAACTAGAACCAAAGTTAGGGCAATTTCCGAATTTAATAAGGGGGAAAATGACCGCTTATCTAATTGCATTTATAATAATTATCTAAGATTATAGATAATGTATTTATAGATAAGATTAGCGTTAAATGAGCGATCATTTTCTCCCCTTTATTAAATCCGAAAATTGCTGTAGAATATATTTTAGTTATAAATTATCATATAAAACTAGCTGACAAAGTTGTGACTGGTTTTACTTTCGTGTGGCGAGAAGGATCCATTTTTTTGAAGGTCGATTTTCAGGTAGAAGATAAATTCTCGCCTTTCCGCAAATGGCACTTCTCTATCACTATTGACTTTGTAGCCGTTGGTCTAGGTTGCGGCTGCAGCCATGGTTTAGATTTTCGACCACCCTCGGGCCGCACTCTTGGGCGATAAAGGCACTTTCTTACTAAGTCAGTGCAGGACAAATTTATGAAACTGGACAAAAAAGGTGGATCAGATAAAACTCTAATCTCCATCGAAAATTAAAAGCATAAAATACAAGTATATACATTAAGCTCATGCTATTCAATTCCAATAACCTTGTGAGGAACTTTAAAAAAACTCCATAACTACAAGTCTCTATAAACCCAGTGAATCTCTAAATACATTATTAGGAAATTTTATGTAAAAAAAATTTTATTCTCTGTGTATCGTCAAGTATCGTAACAAAAAATATACGAAATATATATTTTATCTTTTTTTTTTGGAAAACAAAAAATTATGAAATAGAGGAGTTCCAAAACATAGAATGAAATCATAACTGTCATAATTTTAAAGTAATCATAATACATTCTAAGACTTAGAAATGTTTTATCTTTGCCAGTTTCTGTATGAGGAAAAAAATTAGCCTGGAATATATGTATCAATAATCTACCTAACGGGCCAAAAAAAGACTTTTTTTCCTTCACAATATCAAATTCACATCCTTGAAAATAAATTTTTGAAGCGCTTAGTAATTAAAAATTACTATTTATTATTGACAGTGACGTACACCCATCGCTATTTCGTATTAAAGCATGCTAATTATTACGTTAACAGTATGCATCTAATCAGCCAAAAATTCTACTTGCATTAATTATTTTTTATGAACAAAAACTTATATCTCAATAACGTTTCAGAATCAACTTGCACATCACTTAAGGTGGCTCCAGTGGCCTCAATGTTTAAATTATAAATAACCCAACCGAGGTTAATAAAATTGAATTATATTCTTTGAATTCCCATCTTTCTATTCGTATAAAAAAAAATTAAGGTTGACGATAAAAATTGTAAGAAATCATGCTTACAAAATCGTAGTTTTAAGACGGGTTAGATAGGAAATGCAAGCTTACGCGATATACAACCTACTGCTGCACTTATATAAATAACCCGTAAGGTGTAAAAAACATACTATCTTGTATATATTATTAAGCAGTTTTCGATGACATGAAAAAAGTGTCTTGTTATCGAACAAAATCTTTAAATAATCGGAGACTAAGTATACAGTTGCGAGTGCAAGTCAGCTCTCAGCTGTCTGCATTCGGCAGAGTACATATATATAGGTATAACTACTCTTGAACTTAGGAGCGTACCGTAATAGTTCATCAATTAGGGCACCATACAACTTTGTTGTTTTTTTATATTTACTCACTAAAGTAACAGATTAAATGTAGAAAATGGCTTACAACAGTCTCTACGATAATTTTATACCATATTTTAAAGAAAATAATGATTAATTTTTAGTCTCCCCATTTTGATACGGCACTAGGCGCTGGAGCCACCTTAAATATTCTAAGGATCTGAGTACTTTTTGCAGTTGTTTGAAGTCTATGGCTGTATTAAAGTTTTTTCATGTATTAGAGTGCTCTAAATACAATTACTGAAGTTTAGCCGATAAGCATAATCATTTTTTATAAGAAAATTAGTAATTTTCCTTTTTTTAAAGTGATTTGGTACTTTTTGAGTAAACCCTTAATTGATTGGTAAAAATTGACTATTCTCATTATGCCACTTCATCGTTAGCCAGTACCAATATACGAGTGTTACAATTGTGAAGATTGTCTTATAAACTTGTTTTTTATTTATTTTAATATCTTAAACGTTCATTTATCTAAAACTCTTCAGTAGTTTTATCCCCAAACTTTATGGTGTAATTTTTTCTATGAGATATTCACGGCCTCATCTTTCTCATCCTTAATGTATGGAAGGTTTCCGTTAGACCAACGGAAACCAAGTAAATCTTTTGTGTACATTATCATCTCTATTGATAAGTGGTTGAAACAAATTATCGTAAAGCCTGTTTTTAGATTACATTTTTCAAATAAATTGATAAAAATCGTAGTAGAATCCATACAATTGTACAAATATAAGCACTTACAACATTCAGAATTAAGTTACTTATTTTTCTGACCTATTAATGAAAGCAACCTAATTTCCTACCAAGCATGCTACATGCGATATATTGTTGTTATCGGAATCAAACGAGACTTTATAATTTTTTTTATTAGGTTACAACATACTCTCTTTTAAAATTTTAGTAAAATTCACAACGTGAAGCACAATAAAAATCTTGTTAAAAATTAAAGCTTTTAAATTGGCTCTTATAGATATCAGTATTTTCGTTCACGTTAGTTACAAAAATTAAAATATTTTATCTTTCAGCAATAGATAAAAAAAAGTTTTCGTCAGATAAGTGCCATCGTTTCCGAGGCTATTTTTCGGTCTGAAGGATGTAAAAGGTACCTGCGATACGATAGCGCTTAAGTGGCAAATCCCATTTTTTCTACTGAGGGTACTCCAGCCTCTCAAAAACGCCCGAGAGCAACATTAACACAAAAAAACCTGTGCAATTTCAAAGAGATTGGAACCTTGTAAAATGTGAGCGACTATCTTAATTAAAAGTTATTAATGATAATTTACTTATGAATTATGTATGTATTCGACCTATGGTAAACATATTTTGTCCACTTTATTGTACGCCCATTTCAATCTGTCTGAAAAAATTCTGTATAACGTACTTAATCTATAGATTATAACGTTATTACCGTCATTTATATTTTCATCCAGACTAATGGTAGTTTACTAAAATCGTAATTTCAAAGATATTTTGTAAAAATAGAGAGTTATTGGAGTAATGTTTCACAAAAAACGATTTTTTTTACAACTTGTGAATACTTAGCGAACAAATCGCTACAATCAAAATTATTCTTATTTTTATTATAGAATTCTATTAATTTCCAAAAGTGTTCGTTCAATTATACTGCATTGCTTGACGGAAGAACCGGTAAAGTTAAACAGTGAATATTTAATTCGTGAACGATTAATCTTTTACTCACATTTTCTGATGAGCATG